GAGGCATTGACATTCGGTGACACACACACACACACACACACACACACACCTGATGCCCTCTTCCGGCCTTCATGTATACAATACACATGGAATACACTCACAGGGAAATATACACACATATACAACAATTCTGAAAAGAGGAACAATGCATTGCAAAGAAAACAATTAACAGTAAAGCATTAATGTACAGAATGAGAAAAATAGTTGGCAAATACTCACCTGATAGAAGATTAGCATGTGAACTATAAAAGGACACCCCAACAAAATTAACAAAATACAAGTAATCTAATTTTTAAATGGGAAAATGATCTGAATAAGTACATCTCAAGAGAAGAAATACTAACAGATACAACCATATGAAAAGTGTTCAGTTACCGTCAGTCATCAGAAAAGTACAAATAAGAACCACGGTGAGACGGTGCCGTTCCAGCCTACCGTCGGCAGGCATATATTCACAATCCTTTGGTGAGAATGTAGAGAAAAGGATCTCTTAAACACTGCTGGAAGGTACGTGGGTCAGGACAGTCACAGTGAGGACAGTACGGCACTTACTCATGCAAACAGAGCTACCAGGCCTGGAGAGATTGCTCAGCGGTTAGGGGCACCTACTGCTCTTACAGAGACTCGAGGTTCGATTCCTACGACCAACATGGCGACTCACAACCATCTGTAACTCAAGCTTCAGGGGATTCAGTGCCCTCTTCCGAACTCTGTGGGCACCAGGCACGTACATTGTATACACACATACATGCAGGCTAACCATTAATACTCATAGAATTTAATTAAATAAATCAATCTTAAAAATTTTTTTTTAAATAGAGCTACCAGGTGACCCCACTATTCCACTTCTGAGTAGATACCCAAAGGAAACAAAACAGCAGAAGAGATACTTGTATTCCTATGCTTATTGTGGTGCTAATCACATTAGTTAAGATATAGCAGTCAGCCTAGGTGGCCGTCTATATAAAAGGTGGAAGTGGTATTGCTAAAATGAACCATGTGAACACAGTCTTTGTAACAAAAAATTTACCATTGACCTCAACATGAAACTAGATAATCCATAAAAATTACTGAACTTGAAAAAACAATAATATCGAACACTACTCAAAATGAAGAACAAAAAGGAAAAAGCTAATAAGGGATGAAGAAAAACTCAAAAAACTTTAGGAATAAATATCAAGTTATCTAACATATACATAGTTGGAAGTTCCAAAAAAGGAAGAGAAAAAAAAAACTTGAAGAAATAGTGGAAGAAAACTTCAGCCACTAACCTACTTCAAAGGATGTAAAGCAGAAGACACAGCAGCAAATACTTATGCCCAGCACTAGGGAGGTTGAGGCAGGAGGAGTGTCGGTTGGAGGCCAACCTGGGCTACACAATAAGACCCTGCCTCATCAAACCAAAAGTATCAAACATTCAAACAATAAATAAAGCAATAGAAAGGAGCCAGCCCACAATTCTCTATTTAATGAAAATGTTTTTAAAATGAAAGCAAAATGGGCTTTTTATTTTAAGCTTAGAAATAAAAGCTTAGAACAGTCACCACCGGTAGACTTTAAGAAATGTTATCTGTTTTTCCTGCTGAGGGAAAATAGTTAGATTAAAAACTCAGACCTAAGCCAGAAAGTCCAAGGCTGTGATAGCTGACCTGCTATGGCTTTGGACTTGAAATTCAATGGGAACTCCCATGAAGGTAAACATGAAGAAAGTGTATCAAAATGGCTCACCTTGTGGGAAAATACAGAGTACTTGTTCTGTTTTGTTTGAGACAAGAGTTTTGTGTTCCTTGGACTGGTAAAGTTTAACATAAAGTTAAACTTTAAACTTCAGACCTACCTGCCTTCTGAATGCTGGGATTACAGGCATAAGCCACCCACCATGACATACAGGGTGCTGGAGATGGAACCCAGGGCTTTCTTTGGGATACCAGATGAGATACATCCCTCACCAGGAAATATCAAATATTTTTTTCTGGAGTTTTAATTTCTTTAAAAAGCAACTGAATCCCTTCCCCTTAGCTTTCCCCCCCCCTCCATGCAGTTCAATTAAAAAACTATTAGGTCAGCTGAAGCAGACTGATGGATATCCAGAAGGAGACACAGTGAGGTGTTGAGGTGTTGATGGTGTCACAGAAGCCAGAGACCTTGAACCAGATCAATAAGCCATTGCAATGACTCATTGCAAGTAAAGATGTGTGGACAGAGAGATATACTGTGACATTCTACAGCTTCCATGATGAGATGTTTTCTGTGCTCTGTTTTTTTGTTTGTTCGTTTGTGTGTGTGTGTGTGTGTGTCTTGGGGAGGGGTAGGTTGCAAGGGTGAAGGGTGGATATGTGGGGATGGGGAGATAAGCAGGACCGGGATGCATGCTTGATGTGAAATCACAAAGAATCAATAAGAAGTTAAATAAATGAAAAAAGAGCCAGAAGCCAGGTTTAGGTATACATTCAAGTCTGGAAAGAGCAGGTATCTGCTCAGGCTAGCGGCCTACCACAAAGTTTTTGAGCCAGAGAATGGTAGGGAGGTGGTCCCCAAGAAGCACCCATAGTGGATCCAATTAAGAAAAGAAAGAATTGCTGAGAAAGAGGGGTCTATTGTGGAGCCCAAGGCAGTTGGAGGCCAAGGAGAGCACAGCTGCCTAAACCAAACCTTGCGCTGCACAGAGGATGGAAAGGAAGCAACACAAAATCGTCACATCTGTGTATGCTAGTGCAGAAACATAGCATGTGTTAACACAAGAGGGAACATAAAACAAGCCAGATTGAAGAGATGCTCTATAGTAAAACTTGTCTAATTTTCATTTCAAGGACCCCAGAATTAAAGACGTGGAACTGTTCCGGCCTGAAGGAGATCAAGGAGACATAGCAACACTTGCACCATGCAATCTGGACTGATCTCGCTTGCTAGAGCGTAACTGGGGCAACCAAGAAAGCAGAGCTAAGTCTGAGGACCTTGGCAGCTGACTGTAAGAGAATGTCCTAGCGACAACTCTTCAGGGAAAAACAATTCTTTTTTGTTGCTGCTGTTGTTGTTGTTGTTATTGTTGCTCACCACCTCATTTTTTATTTTTTAACATTTTTTCTTTTTTTTATTCTTTATTAATTACACTTTATTCACTTTGTATCCCCCCTGTGGTTCCCTCCCTCCTCCTGTCCCAATCCCTCCCTTCCTCTACCCTCTGCATGCTTGCCCCTCCCCAAGTCCACTGATAGGGGAGGACTTCTTTTCCTTCCTTCTGATCCTAGGCAATTAGGTCTCATCAGGAGTGGCTGCATTGTCTTCTGTGGCCTAGTAAGGCTGCTCCCCCCTCATGGGGGAGGTAATTAAAGAGCAGGCCAATCAGTTCATGTCAGAGACAGTCCCTGTTCCTATTACAATGGAACCCACTTGGATACTGAACTGCCATGGGCTACATCTGTGCAGGGGTTCTAGGTTATCTCCATGCATAGTCCTTGGTTGGAGTATCAGTCTCAGGAAAGACCCCTGTGCTCAGATTTTTTGGTTCTGTTGCTCTCCCTGTGGAGTTCCTGTCCTCTATTTTGGATAAACCTACTAAAATCTGTACACCTAAAGAAACTAATCAAGAGGGAGGACTCTTGCTAAAATGCTCAATCCCTATCCAGAAGGGCAAAGAGGATGGACATCAGAAGAAGGAGAAAAGAGGGAACAAGTCAGAAGCCTGACACAGAAGTCCTCTGAAAGGCTCTGTCCTGCAGACTATCAATGCAGATGCTGAGACTTATGGGCAACCTTTGGGCAGAGTGCAGGGAATCTTATGAAAGAAGTGGGAAACAGTAAGAAAAACAATTCTTTGTCTGTACCTGAAACTTTTCTATAAGAGTTAGATTATCATAAACAAAAATGTTTTATAAGGTCACGACATCTAAAGCAAACATGATTTTAAAATTGACTTCATAGAAACAGACCTATTTCAATAGTAACTAAAACCATAAAAGGGAGAACAAAAGCATGCTGCCATAGGTTCTTACCATATAGGCAAAGAGGCATGAAAGTATTTAAAGGTCATCTGTGGTATCTTAGAATGCATAACAGAAACTGTGAAGCAGTCCCTGATAAACAAGGAAATATTAGCAAAGACCAAAATGTCACAGAAAAAAAAATAGCTATATGTGTGTCAACGCTATATCACTCAGGAAAACCACTGAGAAGGACGATACTAATGTAACATAAAGAGAAATTATTAGGGCAGAAGTGATAGGCTTCATTTAAATTTCCTGACATCAAAATACTCAAGAGGCAAAAGAAATCATGTTAAGTATGAGGGAGGAAATACTCAGATATATTCTAGTGCTGGTATAATGTTCTTGTGGAATGTCCACAATTTACCCTTGTTCATTCAAATGCTGGTTTCTCTACCTCACTGTCTGGTTTCAATCTGGACATTGCATTGTGATGCTTATTCTGAGCATCACCTGTCTCAAGTTTGTGTAAACATGCCACCATTTGTTCTCTGTATTGTCAATAAAACAACTAGCTACAATGCTGGTCCAGAGGGGAGAAGAAAGTGAGTGGGGGGAGTCAGAGAGCAGAGATCAGCAAGAGAGGACTTGGAACCAGGAGGAGAGATGAACAGGACCTAAGATATGACTAAAAACAAGTATAATGGTAAAATCTGAATGGTAGGAAACTATGCAGGCTTGGAGGTTTAGGATGAAGTAATCATTGCCCAGCGTTGTGCTCTAGGTTAACTAAATACATCCTAGTCTCTGTTTGGTGATTTGGGTATACAGCTGGTTTAGGAATAACTGCTGTTTAACTAAAACATAAATCAATAATAAATATTAATAATCAACAACATTCTAGATAGAGGGTCAATGTTGCCAAAATACATAAAGAGCTATAACAAGAAAGTATGAATTACAATAAAAAGACAGGATATGTGCAGGTAATTTATAAAGGAAGAAATTATAAGCAAACATTCTTACCCTAATTCCAAGCTACACATAAAATGCAAGATCTTACAGTATTCAACAAACCTGCAATATTGCTCGTTCAGGTAATTGTGCAATGTCAAATTCCATAGTCAAAACGGCGCTGTCAGATAAACTTCGTTCAGGGGTAACGGGTTTTTCCTCAGTTGATTTACTTCTTAACCTGTACCTCCATTTTCTCAACTGAATTTCATGTTTTGAAATCTGCAATGAAAATAATTTGTGAATTCCAAGAAATTGTCCTAAGGGTCAAATGCAGTGATCCTTAGAAGGCACAGTGTTTGACACGTTTATTGCCATTATTCCCTAAATGATAATTTTAATACAAACACATAAAAATCTCTGGGCCATCTCAGCTTTTATAGACTACTACCATTAGTTGTCATAAATATTGGCCCAGGCCACCCCTGAGAGACCTGGTGTTGTCCCCTCTCTTAGAGATGAGAACTGTGGACCACAAAATAGAAGTTCCCACAGTAGAACCGCTAGTATTTAGGGACACGAAAGGAAAGTATTAGCAGGGAAATAACCAAAAGGGAGAAGTTAAGGGAAAAAAATTACTACAATTTATTCACTTTGTATCCTAGCTCTAGCCCCCTCCCTTGTCTCCTTCCAATCCCACCCTCCCTCCCTCTTCTCCTCCCATGCCCCTTCCCCAGTCCACTGATAGGGGACTGATAGGGGAGGTCCTCCTCCCCTTCTATCTGACCCTAGTCTATCAGGTCTCATCAGGACTGGCTGCATTGTCTTCCTCTGTGACCTGGTAAGGCTGCTCCTCCCTCAGGGGGAAGTGATCAAAGAGCAGGCCACTGAGTTCATGTCAGAGAGTGCCCCTGCTCCCCTTACTAAGGAACCCACTTGGACACTTAGCTGCCATGGGCTACAACTGTGCATGGGTTCTAGATTATCTCCATGGATGGTCCTTGGTTGGAGTACCAGTCTCAGAAAAGACCCCTGGACCCATATTTTTTTTTATTCTGTTGGTCTCCTTGTGGAGCTCCTGTCCCCTCCAGGTCTATCTCCCCCTTTTTTTCATAAGATTCCCTGCACTCTGCCCAGAGTTTGGCTAGAAACTTTTTTAGAAACCTATCTGACTTACCATTATAGCACGTCTCATTTTAGCATAATACATTTCCTGAAAACAATCTAACAGGAAAGCATTTCTGTTGATGAGTTGATGAATATTGATGGTTGATGAGTATTTTGCACACAGCTCCCCCAAACCCACATATACAACAATTTTGGCATAAGGTATTTACAGCAGAATCTAAGGAAGGGTACATATTGGAAAGCCAGCACACACAGGTCTCACTTGCTTCTGAACCCAGCACGCTACCTGTTCTCCCTCACTGAGCACAGAGTAACTATTTGCCAACAAAGTGGACAGCTGGGTGGGGAGGGGAAATGAATTCCTAAACACTCAGTTTGCTACAATATAGAAAGGGTAGTAATATATTGATAATACACACACTATATATCAACCACAGCTTGCCAAACATCAGGCTTAAGAGAACCTCAACTTTTCTCAGGGACAATCAACATAAGTAAAAGAATGGTGGGTGTGTACAGTTGACTAGTTCACTGTAAGACCATCGATCATCTGGCAAAGGGCAGTGATGGTAACACTAGCTTAGTACACAAAGTAGTTGCAAGCATGGCATGAGCAGATGCGCAGTGGTTACCCAAAGCAGAGATTTCCGGCTGGCAGTGTTGAAATGATTGTCCACAATAGGAAAAGGATAGAGACCGCCTAAACTTTTCCTATTTGCACTCCTCATCACTCCCGTATCTCTCTCTTCAGTATCACAGACTATTTAACTCCTCAGGGTCATGCTCTAGAAAACACTGGATCCTCCAGATTGTAATAATACTCAGAGCACTGCCACCCAGCCCATATGTCTGAACATTCACAATGCCTCGATCTTCTGTGGCTGCCTCCCCATTAGGTGGGACTTGTGCCCTGGTGGGGTTTTTTTGGTTTGTTTTGATGTTGTTTTCCAAAATTAAGAGTGGTAACTGGTGAAGAACCCCAGTCAATTCCCATCACAGGGTTTACAGAGGCACAGCATGACAAACAAGTTGAGATCCTACCCTTACTTCCAGGCCTAGGTCTAATTGTTGGCATGACCACTGGAATGGCAGGGTTGACGGCTTCCCTAACTATTTACCATCAGTTTTCATCTAAGTTCAGCCAGGATCTCCAATGGGGGACTCTGACCATTCTCACACTCCAGGGACAAATAGACTCACTTGCCACTGTATTGCTACAAAATCAGTAAGTATTAGATTTACAAACAGCAGAGGGAGGTGGTCTTTGTCTCTTTCTCAAAAAGGAATGTGGCTTCTATGTCAACCAGTCAGGTATATTAAAAGACGACAAAGCTCCAACAACTCCAGACAGAACTTCAAAAACACAAGAAACTGCTCTGTTCTTCTGGCCAGTGGAATATGCAATTGGATACTACCCTTCTTAATCCTCCTTTTCCCCCTTTTCTTAATTCTACTGGTCACACCCTGCCTTAAAAACTTCTTGTCAGGATTTCTTCAAAAGATTCCTAACCAGGCTTTTAATCAGTTGCTATTACAGGTTTACTAGCCCCTAGCTATGGAGCCAGAGGTGATCAACTCCCAATTATACTCTGCCAGTGAAAGTCAAATTTGCCCAAAGGACTTCAATGCCCCTATTCATCAGGAAGTAGTATAATCATAACATTGCCCTAATGGGTGTACCCAGGTCCTATCCTACTGAGTGAGAAGCCCAAAATCTGGACTTGAACTCTCACCAGTCCCCACCCTGGAAATCTTCACTGCCACCCCTCACCAAGAAACCCTATATAAAGCCTGTATCCTACAGTTCTCTCAGCTACTTCTTGACCAAGCAAAGCCAGCCACCCTCCTGGGGTTTTCCCTCCCAAGAAATCTCTTGGGTGAGGTTTGTAGTGCAGTGTGACTTCATGGTATTCCTGGCTCCCAAACTCCAGAATACCTTTCCCCTCAGAGATGTAACACTTACCGTGTCTTTATCAATATCTTTAAACAAAATATTAAAATGATTTTTCCTTATTTAAAACAAATAACATCTAATATCATACCAAGTCATCTTCTCTCTGTTTATTCTTTTGTTTGGCTTTCTCCCTCCATTTTGCTACGATAATTTTTTGCCTATGGATATAAAACATCTGTCGCAACCGAAGCAGTGAATCTGTAGGAAACATACTAAGTCATCACATGGAGTTAAAGCTGTTTCCAAAGCCACTACAAGCTAACAGAACTGACAATTCGTGCTTTATTTTAATCACATGAAAGTGAATTACTTTTGATAGCATTAGACAGTGCTCTACAGAGTTTTTTTTAAACATGTAAATATTCCCCCCTTTGTCCTTAGAATTAAGATTTCACAGAAATACATACATGTATTATTTCTTTTTTTAAAAAAAAGTAATCTTTTACAAAACTTGTAGTTTGTTTCTAAGCATCTCATAAGAAATACAATTTGGTAGCATTCAGATCCAATGCCTATGAGTTATGCATTCTAGAGTTATACAGATTACCTGATACGTGTTAATCAGAGGTCCAGAACTCAAACACAGGGGCCAAGAAAAGCTCATGTGAAGCAGGCAAGCTCCTCATCTGCACTCGCTGCGCTGGCTGCGCTGGCTGCACTGGTTATACCTGGCTGCGCTGGCTGCACTGGCTGCACTGGTTATACCTGGCTGCGCTGGCTGCACTGGCTGCACTGGTTATACCTGGCTGCACTGGTTATACCTGGCTGCACTGGCTGCACTGGTTATACCTGGCTGCACTGGCTGCAC